TTTAAACTAGCGACCATAAACTCATTAGGAAACTGTTTACTGAGCTAATAAATCAAGTCATAATTTGGGTAAGACTTTATGGTAACAGTGTGTTATTGAAGCCCATGGAGCTGCCTCCTGCTGGCCATTACATAAAATGCAGGTTTAAGACACTTCTGCATTGGCTTTACTTTTCAGACCCAGAAGCTCTGTCCATTGTATATTGTCAATGGTTGGAAGCCAGACAAATAAATTTCATGTACTTCATTGGTTTCTAAAAGTACTTTATTGACTAGATTTTGTGATTTGCTGCATGCAACTATAAACATTTCGGCTAAATTACAACTCACACGCTGTACAGATGATTACACAAACTGAGGATATACTATGTCAAGTTGTTGGACACATTTCTGATCCACAATGTCCCACGCATTTGGAAAGCTGTTCTTCCAATCAACTCCCATCTTTTGAATAAACAAATCTCTAATGCAAAACACAGTACAACAGATAAAAGTACAAACAGCGAGATGTACACTGGGCTGTGGTATATGTGGTTACTCACAGTAAGAAAGGACAGAAGGTAACTTACAGACAGACAAAGTACCAACAACAGTAGTGGACAACATGTACATTGTTAGCGTGGGGATGGTTAATATTAGAACATGTGCATGTTTCATGTGATGCTTTTGTCTATGTGACTGAGCACACACACACAGACACTTGCAAGTTGTGCCCTTATTAAAATGCCATAGCCAGTCTGTGTAGCAGTGAGGGCAGTCTCAGTGCTTCATATCTTAATCATGAACACTGCCGAGCAGTTTCTGGCTCTCTCTTTCCCTCCTCCTCAGGTTCAAAAGCCTGAAACGTCCTCCATCTCTAAATCTTAAAAATAAATTTCCTGACTTCAGACTCCACTCTGCATAAATGTACAAATCTTTTATTTTTACAAGCTGGATTTTACTGGAGGTCTGGCCATACCTGTTGGTCATTACAGTAGGACTCTTAGAATAGAGACCACAACATCAACTTTTCACCTTTATGTTCACTACCAAAAATGTGATTTAGGTAACCAGGTTAAAGGTCCGGTGTGTAACATTTAGGAGGATCTATCGGCAGAAATGGAATATAACATTCATAGGTATGTTTTCATTAGTGTATAATCACTTGAAAATAAGAATCGTTGTGTTTTTGTTACCTTAGAATGAGCCTTT